AGTCCGGTCAGAACTCTTGATACCCTCACTGGACCTGCTCGTTTGTTTCCCATCTCAACAGAGGGCAGTACTGCTTGACTTGGGACAACCTTAGAGTTGACTTTGACTCCTCTCTTCATTCATGCTTGACCTCCAAGGTAACAGAAAATAATCCTGTGGCTCCCACTTCAAAGAATCTCTAGAATCCAACACCTGCTCACATCTCGATTCTGACTCCCTGTGCAAGCCACCAGCACGGCATGGGGGGCAGTGACTTTGCTCGTTATGTTGGCTGTTTTATCTCTTGTGCCTAGAACGGTGCTCGTCACATGGTAGACCATCAGCAAATATTGGTTACATGATTGAATGCCTTAGAGTTTGCTATACACCTAAGACACAAAAGGATTGTTTCTTGATAAATAATTTCACAACTATGAAAAAAATAATAACCAGCATTTTTTTATGAACACACGGCATGGGCCATGCCCCTTCCATGTGTCGGGAAGGTGCTAGATGTGATGGATGAGGTTCAGAGAGTAGGAGACCATCCACACCAAACATCTGGTGGTTCCTGCAGTCGGTATTTCCAACACATTCATTCAGTCAACTCATCAGCTATTGGTTGGGCACAGCCATGTGCCAGATATTGTTTTGGGAGAACAAAACAGACAAATCCCTTACTCAAATAGAGCTTACCATCTAGTAGGGAGGGAAATGCAAGAAATGAAATGTATACATAGGACCGGTGCTATAAGACAGCAAGGAAACAAGGTAGGACGGGCAGCAAAGAACTCTCTGGGGAAGTGGCATTTGAGCAGATACCCGGGTGAAGTGACAGGTGAGCCATGTTAATGTGTGGGAGAAGAGCAAAGACCCCGAAGTAAGAAGCCTCTGGTGAGTTTGGGTGACAGCAAGGAAGCTAGTGTGGCCAGAACTCACAGAGTGAAGGGCAGACTCTTGGGAGATAAGATCAAAATCTTTGGAGGGGTGCCAAAGGGACTTTGTAGAACAGTGGAAGCTTTTGGGTTTCCCCTGAGTAAAATGGGAAGCTGTTAGCAGATGAGAGCCAAGGAGAGACATAGTCTGACTTAGATTGTGAAAGGATCACTCTGGCTGCGTGTGGAGAAGGCTCCCGACGAGGGGCAAGGATGGATACAGAGAGATCTGGTTGAAGGCCTCTCTTGGCCAGGCTATGGTGCACAGCTGTTTGGTCAAACAACAGTCTGGATGTTGCTGTGAAGATAATTTTTCAGATGTGATTAACATTTACAGTCAGAGGACCTGGAGTGAATAATGGGAATGGGCTTCTCCCAAGGAGTTGAAGGCCTTAAGAGCGAAGACTGAGATTTCCTGAAGAAGAGGGAATTCTGCCCCAAGACTGCAACATAAAGGCCCAATCTGCCTTTGGCACTTGCTTGCCTGCCTCATAGGTCTCAGATTCAAGACTGCAACATCAACTCTTACACCTGAATTTCCAGCCCACCAGTCTGTACTCTGCCCTACAGATTTCAGACTTGCCAGCCCCACAATTAAATAAGCCAGTTTCTTAAAATAAATCTAGATTAGATAGACGGGCATAGATGAGATGACTGATAGATGATAGGTAGGTAGGTAGATAGAAGAGAGAGGAATGATGAGATATAAATTTTATATATATATATATATATATATATATATATATATATGTAAAATCATGAGGAAGTATATGATTCATTGTGTGTGACACTGGATTGGGGGAGTGACTAGATGGAGAAGGGGAGAGGTCCCAAGACAGAACCCTAAGAGGGCACTGCAACATTTGGAAGTAAGGCAGAGAGGCAGGAACTAGCACAGCAGAAGGAGAAGGAGCAGTAGTAGATAAAGACCAGCACGAGAGTGGTGTCTTCAAAGCCAAATGAAGAAAGTGTTTCAGACACCCGTGCATAATCCTGTGGGTCAGATGCTGTAGTGAGCTCTGGTAAGACGAAGACTGAGAACTGCCCTCTGGGTTTGGCAACATGGAAGTGGCTGGTGACCTTGAGAGGATCAACTTCGGGCAAGTAGCCGATGTTATATATATATTCTACATTGGTTCTATTTCTCTGGAAAATTCTGACTAATAAAAGGCTGTTGCAATAATCCATGAGATCAATGATCAACTCTTGGACCTTGATCAATAGCTTGGACCAATGATCAATAGCTTGGACTTTGAGTAGCAGTGGAGACGGTGAGTCATGGTTAGTGTCTAGAAATCTTTTAAAGGTAGAGCCAACTGGATTTGCTGATGAATTGAATAGTGGGGGAAAAAAAGGAAGGAAGGAAGGAAGGAAGGAAGGAAGGAAGGAAGGAAGGAAGGAAGAAAAGAAAAGGAAAGAAAAGAAAAAAGCAACATCAAGAATGACTCTCAGATTTTCGGCCTGAGGAACTGGGGGACTGTCAGTACCATGGACTGTTATGGGAGAGGCTGAGCCAGTAAACAAAGGAGTTTGGAACTGAGGAGAGAGGTCAGGTTAGGGGGAGAATTGGGAACCCGTGGCTGAAGTGTCTGAGACGAGATAAGATCACTGGTGATCAGACCCAGAAGAGTGGTCCCAGGACTGAGTGCTGGAGCCCCTGGAGCATTCTGAGGTCCAGAGGTCAAAAAGAGAAGGGACCACCAACAAAGAAACCCGAGGAGATGGGCTCATGAGATTGGAGAACGTGTGTCCCAGAAGGCAAATGGAGAAAATGCTTTATTCTAAGAGATACAGAGTGGTCGGTGGTGGTAAGTGTGGCTCAGGAAGTGGTCCCTTTAGGGGCAGGGCGGGTCACAGGTGCCGGGGCTCCGCGGAGGTGGGCCCTGGGCAGGAAACCCAGTTTGGAGAGAGGAGATTCTGAACATACACACACACACATGCGCACACACACGTGCACACACACACACGCACACACACATACACACACACACACACACACACACACACACAGGCAAACCGTCACTCACTCTGCTGTGGAGGTCTGAAGCTTCCACACAGAGACCAGAGTCCAGGCTGGTATGATGGTCAGAGCAAGGTCAGAGCACCCTGGGAAATGTCAGAGCACCCCGGCTGATCGTGGGCGGCAGCGTGGGTTTGCACCTGTGACTCAATTACTTTTGATGGATGGGGGGTCATCTTCACGTGGTTAGGAGGACCTGGGCCAAGATGGGAATTTGAGTCATGGTAGGCAATAGGGAAGTCACAGCTTATTCCCAGGAAAAGAGTAACACACGATGGGCCGTGGCTGGAGGAGCCAGAAGGCAGGGAAGAGAAAGAGGGGTCTCCACAGACTGCTAACTGGGGAAATGGTCAGCCTGGGGACAGGGAGAGAGTCCTGGACTCCTCTGAGGTGGGCCTGCTCTGTGTTTGCTCATGATAGCCACCATGAAATTATTCATAATTTCCTCTACTCATTGATGAAGAAACAGAGGCTCAGAGAAGCTAAGTAAGGTACCCAAAGTCACACAGTTGAGAAGCAGAGAGATCTTCTTGCCTCCAAGGCCCATGCTCCTTTTTCTAGAATAGTCAGCTGAACAGACCGAAGGCCGGCTGTCCCTTTTTACCCACACAGTCCTTGACCTTGTTGGGCCTTGGGTTACTCATCTGGAAAATGGAGACCACCATTACACCTCTCCTACAGGATCAGATGGAATCACACTCATAAACCAACACTGTGCTTAGCTCACTCGTGGTGCACGTTCAAGAAACGAAAGCTATGGTTACGGGTCATTATTCTCCATTTTCAGCTGAAAAAGCATGTCAGAGTCCATTAATTCCCTTACACTCTGAAGAGTAAAGGCTGAAGTCTGGATTCAAAGCCAGACATAGGAAATTCCAGAGCTCACCCAAGCCCTTTCCCATTCCATCCCAAGATAAGGAAAAGGGGGAGACAGGCATTTCAGGCGGTGGAATTCATCAGCAAAGCTGTGGGCAAGCAGGGTATTAGGGCCTGATGAGGTCAAATTTTAGCTACAGGTTGGAGAGTGAGCCTAGCTGGGCCACCTGGGCCTCAACTGAATGTCGTGAGTGGGGTGCCCGTCCCATGCCGGGCTCCCTGCCCAACAGAGGAGAGCCTTAGCTCGAGCACTGTTAACAGCTGCTGGGTGGAAGCGGCGATGACACCCTTGGGGACTTTACCCTCTTCTGTCTGACCAACGAACAGCCCTTGGGCTGGTGGGTTAGGCACTGCCTGTTCCCTGTTCCCCGGGGACTCAAGAGGGCCTGGCCCCGTCATCCCCACAGGGACCTCACTATGCCCACTTGATGGGAGAGCGAAACAGGCTCGTTGGAGTTGGTGTGACTTGTCCAAACTCCCACAGCGGCGGCAGGACCAGGATTTGAGCCCAAGTCATTCTGTCTCCAAGGCTGTGAAGAAAGGACCATGGGCTGACCTGAGTCAAAGACACTTGAGTCCCTGCTCTTGTCATCAACTGGCTTGGTGACCTGGGGCAAGTTACGTCACCTCTTGAGCCTCACTTTCTCAGTCTGTAGAATGGTCTCTCCAGGGACGCCTGGGTGGCTCAGTTGGTTAAGCGGCTGCCTTCGGCTCAGGTCATGATCCCAGGGTCCTCGGGCTCCTTGCTCGGCAGGGAGCCTGCTTCTCCCTCTGCCTCTGCCTACCACTCTGTCTGCCTGTGCTTGCGCGCGCTCTCTTTCTCTCTCTAACAAATAAATAAATAAAATCTTTAAAAAAAAAAAAAAAGAATGGTCTCTCCATCATTCCACTTGACTAGGTGTCTTCTGGATCTAAGGTAAGTGGTGAGTCCAAGGCCCTCCCACAGAGCCTCCCTCCCCCCACCCCAGGTGCCTCCTCCTAGGAGCTCTGGGCCTCCCTGCCCTTATCACCCCCAGCCCCCTTCCTGGGAATGGGCTCAGGCTTGTCAGAGAGCCAGCCAGCTGTCAGCCCCACCCCAGCTGGCCAGTTAATGAGTGACCAGGGCACTGGAATCCGGCCTATAAAGAGCTCCTCACTGGGAAGCAGATGGGAGTCGGTGGACAGGGGCAATGGGATACAGACGGAGTGAGATGAGTGGCAGGATGGTGTCAGGGCTCCTGGTGGCCGTGGTCTTCCTCCTGCTGCCGCAGGACACACACTCAGTCTCCATTCAGGTGAGTCCCTCTGGCCGCTGTGCCCTTCGCCTGAAGGTCCCCAAGGGGAGGGGCTGGGATGATGAGGGGACGCTAGGGAATTCATGGGATACGGGAAAGCAAGCGCCCAGGGCTCACCGCAACACTTAATCACAACCCAGAGGCCAAGACAGCAGGTGGGTGGGGGCAGCCGAAGCGCCGGCGGCAATGACAACGGAGATGACAGCAATAATAAACCACCACTAGTCACCGCTGCTCTCTCAGAAGGCACATCCTGGTCAGAGTTCAGAAGCTGGAACAAGATGTGGTCCCCGCCCTTAAGGAGCCCCTAAGGAGAGGAGTGTCTCTGGTCGCCCATGTACGGGTGGGTGGGAGAGAGTCACCAGAAGAAGGTTCCCTGGGAGGTGACAGCTGAACTTGCAGGCTGAGCGGGAGGCAGCCGGGCACAGAGGATGTGGACCGCTCGGGGCAGAGGGCCCAGTATACACAAAGGCTCAGAGTGAAGTCAGCAGGGGGCCCGGGGCTCCTTCCAGGGCCTGCCCGTGGGGTGCCAGGATGCCAGGAGCCAGCAAGGAGGGAGACGTCTGTGGCCCTGGGAGTCCGACACATTCTTGACTCCCAGTGGGGCCTCCTTGTGGGGGCGGTAGGGGGTGGGGAGGCAGCTTCCCCCTGCATCTCTGGCCTTGGAACCGGCCAGCTGGGGGTGTCACTGTGCCATGTCCGTTCAGGGGAGATCACCCCGTTACCGAGTGTGGCCCAGGTGCCAGGCACTAGGGAGGTGCATGCATCTGATGAGGCCTCAAGTGCGGAAGAGACAGGAGGCCAGTTGTGAAGAACCGGGATTTGAACTGGGGTTCTGTGGATCTCCAAAGCCCATACCTTGAATCACTTGCTCCCCAGCCTCGCTGTGACCTCATACACAGTAATGGGGGGGCCTGTGGCATGGTGGGGTGTGACGTATCAGGCACCAGCTCCCCACCTCCCCGGCAGTCCCCGCTCCCAGGACCCCCCATGAGAACAGGGAAGGCTCTGCGGGGTCTGAGGAGCTCTGGTGTCCCGGCCCGGGTTTTGATACTCTCTCACCTCCTGTCCCCTCCGGCCCTCCAGCACCAAGGCTTCCAGGTCCAGCTGGAATCAGTCAAGAAGCTGAGGGACCTGGAGGAGCAGAGGGGGCCCAACCCCTCCAGAGTCTCCAGACTCCAGGCCCAGAGCCTCGTGCCTTCCGTGTGTCACCACCTGGCCCTGCCGCAGGACCTCGAGCCCGTCTGCGCATCCAAGAAAGCTGCCAGCGTCCTCCAGGCCTTGAGTGAGTATCCTCACCCCTGCGGAGCTTCCTGCCACCCCCCCGCCCCCGCTCTCCCTCCTCCCCCCCACCCCCGCAGCTCCACCACTTCATGTTCTTTCTAGTAAGCACCCAATGCCTGGGACAGGGAGAGTCAAAAAGCTCAGCCTCTGGCCTTCCCTGCCTGGGCACCGCAAGTCAGACACGACAGGAACCCCTCGGTCCCCAGCACCCCGGACCGCTAATGGTCATGGCGGACTTCACAGGTTCCCACCTCTGAACAGGGAAGGGAGGCCTGGGCCAGAGCCCTGTAAGCGAGGACCACAATAGGGGTGGGGGGGTGCTGGGGGGGCAATGAGGGAAGCACAGGTGACCGAGGGGAGATGGGTCACGTCTGGGGTCCCATAAGGGGGCTGAAAGGCTTCCAAGAGGAGGTGACATCTAAGCCAAAATGTGAGGGAGCAGAGCTGGCCAGCGAGTGTGACACCCATGAAGCGTCAGGCCCGTGCCCGGCCCTGTGCCCGGCCCCCTCTCCTCCTGAGAGAGCCAACAGGGATATCCCCAGCCCCAAGGGTATAAGGAGCCGGCCCAGGCACCGGGAGGCAGGAGAGGCCTGGGACTCGGCCCCGGGCCACTGTCTGCTGTTGAAACTTGAGGCTCCGGACCCTTGAGAGAGATGCTGGTGACATGGTCGGGCCCTCTCCAGAGCCGGCCTTCTCCGGCTGCCCCGGCCCCCATGTCTCGTGGGCAGCTACTGACTGGTCTTGTCCCCTGCCCAGAGAGCATTGCTAACGACGACTGCGAGCTGTGTGTGAATGTCGCCTGCACCGGCTGCCTCTGATGGGGCTGGCTGCCCCGAGCCCACGTGCGCGCTGCCCCAGCCTGCTGCCTTCCCAGCCCACACCCCTGCTTCAAGGCCTCTGCATGCATCACCATCACCGGTCCGAGGCCCGAGAGGCTAGACGTGGCACAAGGCGGCTGGACACACGGTTGGAAGGGAGTCTGGCCCAAGGCAGCCTTGCTGCCTAATAAAGATGCCCAGCTGCCTACACCCCGAGTCGGAGTCCATGTGTCCATCCCTGGGAGCCCCCAGCAGAGCTGCTTGGGAAGCTGAGTGCGCCTGCAAAAAGGCTGATCTCAGGACACAGGCAGGGGCTTCCCAGTTTCCAGTGCCTGAAGAGTTGGATCAGCGAGCCCTATTTCACACAGGAAGAGGGAGGCTGGCAGGGCTGGGGCGTGGAATGAGTCCCCCAGTATCACAGAGCTTAGACGCTGCAGAGCACCTGGACCCATCTGACCCCACAAGTCGAGCTCCAGGCCCAGCCCAGCTGCAGAGCCCAAACTGTGCTCCAGCCCAGGATGCAGGGGGAGTTGGGGGGCAGAGAGCTTCCCCTGGAGGTGGGGCTGCACCAATTGGGGGGGTGGGTGCGGGGAAAAACCACGTGGTGCCCCCTCCCCAGGCCAGGTGTCTGGGCTGCCTCTGCCCTGGGGCTCCTGAGAAGATGGGCCTTGACCTTCACCCTTACCATCCTGAGCTCCCTCCCTTCTCAGGTTCGCTAGTACGGTCTGGCCAGCTCCAGAAGGGAGACCTTTCCTCCTTCCCTCCATCCTGGCAACCCTGAGGAATAATAATAATAATAATAATAATAATAATAATAATAACCAATGTCACGGTGCCTGGGTGGCCTGGTGGCTCAGTTGTTAACCATTCCCCTCTGGCTCAGGTCATGATCCCGGGGTCCTGGGATTGAGCCCCACATCAGGCTCCCTGCTCGGCAGGAAGCCTGCTTCTCCCTCTGCTTGTGTGCTCCTTCTCGCTAGCTCTCCCTCTCTCAAATAAATAAAATTTTTTTAAAAATGAAAAGTCTCTTGAGCATTTGCTGTGGCCTAGGGTACAGGCCTACTCTAAACTCACAGAGTCCTGGAAACAGTCTAATGAAGCAGGTACTGTTCAATAACCACTCCGCTTTACAAATAAAGAGACCCACATGCAGAGAGAGACCCAACTAGTCCAGGGTGACAGGCTCATCCAGGATGGCAGGCCCAGTGAAGTGGCAGAATGGCAGGCCGGGCCAGACCCCATGCTCTCAACCACCACATTAGTTGCTCCCCGTGGCCCAGGGCCACACTGACGTTGCCTCACAGAGGGGCCCCTGTGTTCTCACAGCTGCCGCCAACTCCTGAGCCTTTCCACAGGCTGGGCTCCTCCACAGCCCCTGTCCTGTGCAGCCAGAGGAGAGCCAGACACAAAGGGGGCCGTGGTCTCTGAGCTCAGTTCACCCAGAGCCAAGGCTATGGCGAACTCCCCCTAGACCAGCTGCCCTTCCCGACAGCCCAGTTCTGCTCATGAGCCCTGCAGTCTCCCACTCCACCAGGCCACAAAACCCAGAGCTCGAGTTCTTTCCTTTCCTTCACCCCACAGGCAAGGCTGGCTGGGCCCTTCGAAGTGCCTGCTGTGTCTCTGGTGCCCAGCATGCCAGAGGAACTGCTCTGATGGGGTCCCTTATCCTTCTATGGCTCCCTAGTACCCCCTCTCAAATCTAAACTGAGCCCAAGCACCGTCTGGCCTCGGATCCCACTGCTCCCCTCAGCTATGCTGAGTCCCCACCTGCCTGGGGAGGAGGCGGTGAAGGGAACGGCCACTCACCGAGCTTCTGCGACATGCCAGGCTCAGGCTGAACCACCCACAAAGACAATGCTGGCAGCACCAGCAGAGCGCCCATTATGGGCCCAGCGGGGCTATAAGAGCTTTTCCTGGGTCACCTCATTTAATCTTCGCTCAACCTCACAAAGTAGGGATTCTTGTCATCCCTATTTTACAGATGAGGAGCCTGAGGGGAGAAGAGGCTGAGTCCTGGCCATAGTCACGTAGCTGCTAACAGCAGAGCCAGGATCCACCCACCGAGTCCAGGTCCAGAGTAGGAGCATTAAATGACCCTGCCCCACCCTGCATCTCCTCAAATTCCCCTGCAGCGCTGGGCACTGGGGTCTGCTAGCATTCCCATTTTTGGATGAAGAAACCAAGTCTCAGAGAAAGCTTCACAACATGTAAGTGACCCCCGCAGGTTCAAACCCAGCCATGTGTGCCTCCCAGGACCCACCCTGTCCCTACCGGACCCTTCCAGTGCCTCGGACATTCCCCATGCTATGCCCGCACCTACTCCACCTTCTAGAATGCCCTCTGCCTTCCTACCTCCAGATTGGTTTTCAATGTCCATCCACCCCAGTGCATATCCCAAGCGCTAATGCAAATGCCTGCCTCCCCGCCCCCTTCACAAATCCTCTTCTGACCTGAAGACACCGCACCCTGCAAATTCCAATTCTGCAGCCCGGGGAATTCTACCTGAATCACCCTATGTCCCTTCCCCTCCAACCAACTCCCCAAGAAATGCCCTGGTCACTCCTCTTTCCCCCTTCCCTCTAACTTTGCTAACAAGCGGCCCTCTGTGTCTCACCTCCTCGCCCTTGTCTGAACCTCTCTCAGCCTGGTCCTGGTTCCCCATTTTCTGGTTTGTTTGTTTTTAACCATTTATTGATTCTCTGTTTGCACATGGCCTGAACTTTACCTGCATGACATACACATTTACAGTATTTCACCCAGCCTGTGAGGCAGGTACTATCACTATCAAAGTCCCAGTTTTACAGGGTAGGACACTGAGGCACCGAGAGGGAAAGCGACTTTCCTAGCATCACACAGTATGTGCAAGACGTGAGGCCGGCCTGTGTAGCTCTGGCTTTCCCCCCCGCCCTTGGTTGTGTCCTCCCACAGTCATCAGTGTGGTGGGTTTCACTACTGCCCTGGGGGTCAGAGAGATCTTCCCAGGCACAGAAGCCACTCTAGCACAGCGGGCCAGAGCCCTACAAGGGGTACAGCTGATCAAAGTGCCCACAGGGCACCAGGGACAGAGTGGGAACACAAAGCCCCTCCTGGGAGGGGCATCTGAGGAGAAGAGGCCACAGGAGCACAGCCTTGGGGTCTCAGGGAGGACTTAATCTGGCTTCCTAGGAGTGTGGGAAGAGGAGCCGAGCACAGGTGAGGGGAGCAGAGAAGAAGGGGTGAGGGCGGGGCTTGAGGTGTGTTCCCCGCAGAGAAAGCTACACTGCTGTGGTCCATGGGGCCCGGGGCTTGCGGGACCTTGAACACTCCAGAGCCTGGGGCCAGTCTCACCACCCCTCAAGCTGTGTGTGGGACATCCACGCCCGCAGACTCCTGCACTCACTCCGGGCCCAGCGTCTCCAGTGTCCCAGGAGATGTGGAAGAAAAGCACAAATTCCACCTGCACCATAGGTGGTCTGGCGGTTGAGGTCCCCTCAGTGCCTGTGTGTGGTGACAACGCCTGGGCGGGGGGCAGCTTCATCAGGGGAAGACGCACACTAAAGCCCGAGCTTGCCGGCAGAGTAGGCACCCTTAGAAAGCTGGCTTCTAAGTCCACTGGCAAATGAAGGCAGGAAGGAAACGACACCAGAACGACTCTGGGAACTGGTTTATTAGCGGAGGGTTGCAATGGACCTTGGGAAGCACCGACAACTGGGATGGGTCAGGGGCTGGGCCTTCCCAGGCCGCCCCAGGCCACCCACTCTTCACTCTTCCCCTGAAGGGGAGGGCCAGGGGGCCGCGAGCTGTCCTAGCACCCCGCACAGGCTGCGTAGGCACAGATCTCACACGACCTCGGGTCCTCTGCAATGGCCTCTGCGCAGGAGAGATGGGGTGCCGAAGGGTCAGAGCCTCCAACTTCCCTTGCGCCCCTGCGTCCCCAGGAGAAGCCCAGGCCTGTCCCCGCCCACCCGCGGGTCTTTCCTCCCCAAACCGGTACCACTCAAGCCATCCAGTCAGAGTGGGGATTCCACCCAGGAGGAGCAATAGCGAAGGCTAGAGTGCCCGGGACCCAGAACCACCAACCAATCAGCGGCCAGAGGGAGGATCTTTCAAAAGTAAGCTTCGCCAATTACAACTTAGAATGGGTTCAGCGGACTCACCAATCAGAGCACACCTCCCCCTCCGGGGCCACCAATCAGGGGCTTCCCAGGCCCCACCAACCGGAGAGGAAGCTACTCACCCAGCCTATGGAGGATCTCCCGGGCATTGGTCTCCTTGCAGAGGGGTTTGAGTTCTTCTGGAAACTTCCGGTGGCTGCAGACTTGGGGAACCGCGGGCCCACCACTCTTCCTGGTGCGGGGCTCCTGGAGCTCCTGGAGGTCCTTGAGCTTCTTCACTGACTCCAGAGGAAAAGAGAACTTTCCATCCTGAGAGGGACATGCGCAGAGTGTGAGGTCAGCCTGCACATCCCTCCAGGATGTCCGCAGGACTCCCACGACCCAGGCCGGGGCTCTGGCTACAGACCCGACTGAGGTGGAAGGTTTAGAATTGAATCGAGCACCTTCACTTCCCTGCCACGTGCCTAGGGCCAGTTAAAAACTTCTCTGAGACTGTTTTCCTCCTCTGAGAAAGGGACTAATAATCCCATTTTCGCAGGGCGATGGTAGGAGGAACCTGACTCCGGGCAGGCACTCAGTAAACTGTCTCAACACCTCCCTTTCCCTAAATGGTGATTTCTCTTCTCTCCGGAAGTTTGAAGGGGAAAGGGTAGGAGGCAGGGCTGAGACTGGCTCCTGAGAAAGAGCCACACCCGAGACGCACCCTCTGCCCCAGGCCCAAGGAGAGTGCTGTCTCAGAGGACAGGCCCTGGGCACTGGGGGCAGAGAGCCAGCTGGGCCAAAGGATTTACCTGCACGGTGACTCCCCCTGCCAGGACAGCCCAGGTCCCAAGGAGGCACAGTGCAGAGAGAAGGAAGGTGTCCATGACAGCAGCCGCCAAGAGGGAGGAGTGGTTGGTTCTGGATGCCGGAGGGAAACAGTGGGGCTTTTAAGGAGGGCATGGTTACTGAATAACTAAGGAGCCTTATCAGCTTCTCATCTGCTTGCCTGTCAACTCAGGGCTAATCAGATAAGGCTCCGGACAGCCCTGGCAGAGAGAGGGAAATCAGTCCCCTGAGCAGCTCTGCAGAACTCTGACCCCTCCCTGGGCTCCCACTTTAAACCCACCCCCCCCCGCCCCCCGCCAGGCTGGGTCCTGCATTCATTCACCAGGCACACACACTCCCTGGCACCTGGTCTCCCAGACAGGTGGGCTGATGGGGTGGGGCTGCAGACCCAGCCCAGCCCTGAAGGAGGCAGGGCAAACAGTGGTAATGCAGGGTGATTAGGGGAGTGGGTGGGGGTGGATGGAGGAGCCGTCCCATCCAGCGCAGGGGTGGGGAGTTCAGGAACATTTCCCAAAGAAGGTTGTGTCAGCACTGAGTTCTGGAGAGAGTGGAATTTTCTTAGAAAAGGGGCCAGGGGGACGCCTGAGTGGCTCAGTGGGTGAAAGCCTCTGCTTTCGGCTCAGGTCATGATCCCAAGCTCTTGGGATCGAGCCTCGCATCTGGGCTCTCTGCTCAGCGGGGAGCCCGCTTCCTCCTCTCTCTCTCTGCCTGCCTCTCTGCCTACTTGTGATCTCTGTCTGTCAAATAAATAATAAAGTCTTTAAAAAAAGAAAGAAAGAAAGAAAAGAGGCCAGGGGTAGGCCATTTCTTGCAGAGGATGCTACGTGGAACAAGCGGGAGGTAAGCAGGTCTGGAATATTCAGGGAAGTGTGAGTAATTCAGCCTGGGGGGAGGGGGGGAGTTACAAGGGAGCTTCAAAGGACAAGAGATGAGTTGTAGACCAAGGTAGGGACTAGGTTTGGCCACTGTGACTTTGAGGAAGGACTCAGCTCTGCTGTCCCATGGGCCTGGGTTCAAGTGCTACCTACTGCACGATTTTAATGTGTATGAACTTGAGCAAATTGTTTCTCCTCTCTGAGCCTCAGCACCCCATGTGGATCAATGCCACTGCTAACACCTACCTTGTAGACTTATTCTGAGGATTAGATGATGTAAAAATGCTTAGCTCAGCGCCTGGCACACAGAAATCACTCAGTGAAAGGTCCATCCCATTATTATTATTTTCATCAATAGCAGCAGCTTCTGGTCCCTCTTGACCCCTCTGGTGACCACCTGAGCCACAGCCTGTCCTCATTCGGCGCTGATGTGCTTGTCCTTCAACCTCAGAGTGTCCCAGAATGAACTCCTCCCTACACCCTTGCCCGTGCTCCCCTAACCTCAGTTCTGCTGTTTCTGCCTTCCAACTACCACCCCCACCACGTGTTCCCTCCTCTTCTCCCCTTCTTCCCAAACTAGACCAACCTAATCTCCCCAACCTGTCTTTTCTTAACCGGTTCACTTCCCCCAACCTTCCTGAACGTGCTTCCCTGCCTTTGAACATGCTGTTTTATCTGTCTGGAAGGCCTTTCCATCCTCGTCACTAGGTGAACTCCTGCTCAGACTTGAAGGCCCAGACCGACTATCCCCCCACTGCATCCCCACCTAAATAACCCCTCTTAGTTCCCACAGAACCAGCTGCATTCCCCTCCCGGGGGTTTTGTTGGGTAGGATCACCTGGGTGCGTGTTTCTGCCCCTCTAGGCTTGGACCCTCCAGCTCAGTGCATGGTCCTTCCGTTCTGTTGTGAGCAAGGCCCCCAGGACACAGAAGAAGGAAAGCCCTGGGCACTCCATCGTTCTAATCTACAAACAAACCAGGCCAGAAGCCAGGACAGCTTTCAGGTAGGGAACAGAGGCCAGAATCCCTGGGTGGAGAGAGTCAGTGCTGAAGAAGGAACTGGAGGAGCAGAGCCTGGCAGGGAGGGAACTGCAAAGGGTTCCTGCCTAAGGGAGGAGGAAACACTTGCCCTACCTGCTCTCCCAGGCCAGTCATCACGGCTAGACTGGACTTCCCTCCCCTCTCCTGTGTGTGTGTGTGTGTGTGTGTGTGTGTGTGTGTGTGTGTGTACATGTGCACACACGCGTGCCCATGCACGTGCCCACACCGGGGTCTGCACGTCCGGTCCAGCTGCATGGTGGTCTCCATTTGCTGACCGCTGGGTGGGAGTGTGCATCTGGGAGGGGGAGGGACAGGACAGGTTCCGGTGGGGTTATGGAGTCCAGGCTGAAGGGTAGAGTTTGCTGTGATGGGGATGGAGGTGAACAACCAGGTACAAATCTGGAGTACAGCTGAGGCTGGTCCTAGGACTGAACTGGGCTGGGTGCAGTGGAGCTGGGTTAGGGTGAAAGCTGGTTAGGGTCAGCCTGAGGTTCTGGATTGGGGTTGGGGCTAAGCTGGGGCACGATGGAGGAGCAGTTAGTAGCAGGAGGTCAAATCGGGACTCGAAGCGGGGTTTGAGTCCGAGGCAGGGTTAGAATGGAGCTGAGGGCGGGATGGGATGTCAGAGTTGGGTCTGGAATTGGGGAGCCGCTGCGAATGGGTTGATGTTGGGATTGCAAATGACGTGGAGGCTGGTTAGGATCAGGTTTAGGATCAAGGCTGGTCAGTGTGGGGGTCAAGTGAAATGAAATAGAGTTGAACATTAAGGATGGGGCTTGGGCAGGACTGCTGTGGGCTGGAAGAGCCCTGTATCTGGCTGACTTTGGTCTTCAGTCTTTCCCCTCCCCAGCTACAGAGGGACGGGGGTGGGGAGAGGGCTTTGCTTCCTAAAGTCTTTTTCTCCCCTAGCCCGGGCCTACCTGGTGTGAGGCAGAACTGGAACAGGTTGGGGGTTGCGGGAGTGACGTGGTTCATGCTGTGGGAAAGAGGAAATGGCTCCTAGGCCTCAGATCTTTGGGCCCTGCCCTACTAACCACCTCTGACGTCTGCCCTGGGAAATGGGAACCAACTCCCCTTCCCGTACCCTCACAGTTCCCAGCCCAGCCCCGGCCCAGGTGTGAGTGCAGGCCCCCTCCGTGTGCTCCTGTGTTGAAGAAGCTGGGGCCCTTCCAGAACCACAGGTCCCCACCTGAGTCCTGGTCCCCCACTGGTCCCCCGGACTCCCATAGCCCTCTTTATTCCTTATCAGCAGCAGGTGGGGCTGGGGTTGCTGGACTGCCCACATCCAAGGCCACCCCTTCTGGCAAACTCTGGCTCCTCTGTAGCCTTCAAGCCGTGCCACCTCTACGACCTGCCACCCCACCTGAAAACCCCCCATCGGCTGCCCCAGACCTTCAGAAGAAAGCCCAGACTCCCTGCTTGGCATTCAAGGCCCTTCGTGGTCAGCCTCTGCTCACCCTTCCACAGGATCCCAAAAGTGCTCCTAGGAGTGAATTGGGAAGAAGGGCCCAGACCTGCTGAGGCGACAGAGCTCCAGCTTTGAAGCGAGGCAGCCCCGGGTCAGAGTTCCAGCTCCTTCAGGGAACAGCTGCGTGGCCTTTCCCAGAATCTGTTTCCACATCTGAAAGATGGAGACAAGAGCTACTTTGTGAATTTCATATTGTCTAGAAAAGTTGCCTCCCTGAAGCCCAGCTCCAGCAAGTCTGGCTTAAGACCATCTCCACCTCCTCTGGGTTCCACCCGCCTCTAACATTTTTACTATTTACGTCAGAAGTAACTATAGAAGCCCATTTTATCAATGGCTAAACTGAAGTTCAGAAGCCCAGAGAGGGTGAGAGGCCATGACTTTCCCAAGGGTGCGTAATACACAGGAGCCAGGTACAGTTGTATTGGTAGCGCACTGCACAGGGCACCCAGCCAACAGAGGATCAGTGTGGACACAAGCCATGTGGCTACCTAGGCCTAGGGGAAGGCACAACTTTTCACATTCATTGCCAGGTGCACTCGGCAGCAGCTAGAATCACAAAGCTGAAAATTGGCGGCCAAAATCCCCCAGGGCTCCACCACCCTTTCCTTTTATATGAAGCCCTCCCATGATGCAACCCAATGCCAGCAGCCTTGCCATCACCCATGGCCTTCCTGACACCTCAGGAGGCGTGCATCGCATACCTCCACATTCCCTCCTTAGAGTGGACCTGCATGAGGTGTGGTCCTGTCTTGAAGGACGCCCAATCTTTTGAGCCTTGCTGCGTTGGGCTGGAGGGTGCCCTCCTCTCCCCCAGGCCCTGGGAGGCAGGCTCTTTCCTCCAGGCTCCAGGGGGCCATTGGCTTTTCATGTCACATCCCTGTGGCCTGGCCAGAATGAGGCCATGGTGGCACCCCATTCACCGGCAGCTGCCTCCTGTCCCCCCAGCCCTCAGTCTACTCTGGGTGTTGGCCACAGAACACCCCACCTCCCCGAAGACTGTCAGGAAGGAAAGAGGCACAGCTAGAGCTCTGGCCACATTCCCCAGAGGCCACAGGCTAGAGGGAGGACGGACCTGTGGGAAGCAGACTGAGAGCCATGAGAGAAGTTCCCATGGGGCCAGGTATGAGAATGCTTGCCAGCCGAGGTGGCGTTTGAACTGAGCCTTGATCAATGGGCAGATTTGGACCCACAGAGATGGGGGCTGTGGGGCAAAGGGAGGGCAGCGGGAAGCACAGAGGGGAAGGGGTTGGGGGAGGGGATGCTGAAGCAGAAAATGTGTCAAGAGGTGCTGTGGGTGACAGCCAGAGAAGGAGGCTTTAACTACCGGGCTGAGACATTTGCCCTTCACCTTGAGACCGTGGGAAGCCTATCAGAGCAGGGTAAGACCATGGGAAGAGCATCACTTTCAAAAGACTGTCGTGGCACTAAGGGTGGGAGCGGGCTGCTTAGGTATGGTGCAGTACCAGTCCTGCAAAGGGATGCGTTCCACTCCTGCTAGTGCTCCGGGAGGGTGAGGACGTGTGCCCGGAGAGGCAGCCTGTCCGGGCAGTGCAGCGAGAGACTGCATGTGGGAGAGGAGGGAGACAGAACTGGCAGAGTGGTCGTGGGGACTGTGGTGTGCCAGGGCCCGCACTGGCTGCCTTCCATCTGACTTCTCCTCAACTCTTTGAGGTAAGACATTCCATCT